TATGGTTCTACTTTGGAGCATTGAAACCTTGCAGGGTGGGGACCTAGAGCAGCTGGGGCCAAAGAATGCTGGAGTGAGTTCATGGATAACAGATGAGAAGTGATAGAACACAGAGCTTTATGATGAGTTGGTCATGTAGAGAGAGGAAAAAAGAATTTAAAGATTATTCTGAGGTTTGTAGAACTTATCTGTTGTTGCTATTTTAACATTTAAACTCCTTTCAAAAGCTATCAACAGAAGTTATAGAATTTACATAAGAATTATAGATTTTTCTAAAATGGATTTTTTCCTCTGGGCCCTTAAAATATAGTAGAGATTAACCTTGCTTTTTAAATATTGATTGTGAGAAGTTATTTGTAAGTTACCAAATAGTTTTCTAAATGGAATTGATATCAATCATCTTGTAAATTTAGAAAAGTTTTGTAAGTTGCTTATTACTTTATTATTATTTTTTTATTCTGCACCCTCTCTGTCAAATAGTTATTGTGTTTTACAGTTGCTGTACTACAGAGTGAATATTAAGAAAAAATAATTATTTCATAGTGTCTTAATTTTCTCCTAGAACATTAATGCTTAGCTGGCTTTTTTCTCCCCTTATATTCAAATTGTACCAATCCAAATAAAAATATAGTTAATTTTCTGATTGATTTAAAATATTTTTATTTTCAGATGTCAGATAGTCCATGTTTGACAACTTTAAAAATTTGTGCATACTTAATACCTATGGAATATTTTTAGAGATGAATTTGAAAATGTGATTAAATTAGGTAAATGTGTTATTCATAACACACTGATGGTGTGAGTTCAGTTTACCTGGAGGCAACAGTGTAACTCTAACAAATTTTTCCGCTGTTAAATTTGTTCCTATGGAAACTTACCTCTCACACTCTTCTCCCCTCTCATTTTTCAGCACTTTAGAAACAGGTTACAGAAGCAACGGCCAGGAGGCAACATGAAATATTCATACAGTCACTACTTGAAGCTTTGACTAACATACTTACAGGTGTATGTTTTCTTATAAAGGTTACACAAACATACACAAACCTACACGACACATATTTATAGGTGTTTAACATCTAGACCACAAGAACTGAAAGAATTTCTCTGACTTGGTAATGAAGCAACTCGATGATGATACTCCAAGGTCTTACATGACATGTGTGGAAGTGGACAGAGCAGGGATAACAGAACTGAAAGACGATGGTTACTTACTGGGAACACTTCAGTTCTGAGACAGTATGAATGCATAGGCCCCTGCCTTGCTCCTGGTATTTATTGATTAACAAAAAAGTTAGAAGTAGAATAAAAGCTCAGTTTAGAGATAGAAATTATGACCAGGATGGTCATGGGTATTGGAGGAATCTCTTTTTTCTTTTTTCCCTTAAGACTACATCTAAAGTAGTCTTTTTTTTTGGACTACACCAAAGAAAATAATGTCAAGGATAAAATGAAAACCAATAAATAAACAGTTATTGAATATCAAAAAACAAAAAGTCCTCTCTCTCTGAGAAGAGATACAAAAACTCAAAAAGTCACAAGAAAAGATAGCAGGATGAAACTAAGATAGCAGTGCTTAGGGAAGAAATGAAGGATAACAAAAATAATGAGAGAGGGAGAAGGAGAGGGAGAGGGAGAGGGAGATGGAGAGAGAGAGAGGTATTGAGAGAGAGAAAGATAGGTTCAATAGCTAACTGGTGGAAGAATCAAGGTTTTATCTGATGGGGAAATCTCAAAGGGTCCAAATTTAAAATTTTTGGTGGAACTTAGACAGTCAAAGTCCCCCAAAGATTTTCCCAGAACATTATTCTAATACCTCGACAGAACTTAAAAACATGTATATGGAATGGAGTGAAACTAGGTCATATCAGTAGGAGATTTGCTCAACAAAGGTTAGATAAAAGAAAGGGTGCTTTTAATTATTTAAAAAATAGAAGCAAATTGAGAAACTGAGGTAACAAATGATGGACCTGTATGAAGAGTTTAACTTCCTAGATTCTTTAGCTTTAACTGTAGGAAATTAATTTTAGCACAGAATTTTAATATTTTTCCTCCTATATCTATAATTTCCTGTGGTTACTTGTCTACATCTATATAGACTCATGTGTATGGTAGTGTGGAGAACAAAGGAATAAAAGCAGTAACAGGAATTTTGCCTTTCCTCAATTTTCCTTCCAATTAAACCTACGTAACAAAAACAGTACTGTATTAAGCCACCATGTCTAATATTCCTTGGTGGTGACTAGCAGGGAAGTCAGCAGAATCTTTACAATTCTGAAAGTAACTGTGATATCCTAGTGGCAGATTGGGTGGGAATAAGAGACCAGTGGATATGCAAGATATAAAGAAATCACAGTAGTCCCTGGACTCTAATATCTGGTTTTGAATTTGAAAAATAACCTTGAATGCTGACTTTACAGAGGGCTTTTTAAAAAATAACAGAATAAGTGGGTACTTTTTATTGGCACTTGCCTCCACAGAGATAACTGTGGAGGTGGGAACGCTCGAACAAACAACTGTTGCAAAATCATATCTATTGTGAAGAGACAGCTTGTTCCCAAAAATCTGGCTTATACCATGTCAACATTTTAAAAAGATGCTTCAAATAAGAAAAAATTGAGTCTGCAACTCAATTTATTTGTAAAAAAAATACAAATAACATAAATTTGGCTTGGAAGTCTTGGAGGGGATTTCTGAGGACGGTGAAACTTCAGGGTACAATCAAATAGACAACGATTTCTTTCTCTTCCAAATCCCCTCACATTTTCCTTTATGTAATAAATTCTGTTATTTACTGATTTTCATAATTATTTTTCACTCATAATAGATACAACATACTGTGTTCATGCAATTCTTATATTTATTGAGCACCTATTGTGCTAAGAGCTGCTTATACAGAGCAGAAAACTTAGTGTGTGGTAAATATTCAATACCCGGTTAATCAAGTTGATTAATAGCACAGAATTTATTATTAGGTAAATACTTTGGTCATGCTGAACAAAGATCTATAAATATTCTCAAAAAGGAGAGTTAAGTTAGCTTTTTTGAAAAATGTAACAACTCTGTCAGAATATTTCATTCATTTCAAATGTTTGCGAGTCCAACCTATGTGGTAGGTAATGTACTTGCTGAACATCCGGGATTAAAAAATGAACAGAAGGTAGTTGTTTCCTACCCTCAGTGCCCTTGTGACACCTACCAGTTGTGTGACTTTGAGTAAGTCACTTCTCGTGTGTTTTACTCATATGAAACATAAGCAGTTGTAGTGATTATACCTAAAGCATGAGTCAATATATCACAAGTCCCTTCCAGCTCTAAAATTGTAAAAGGGAAGATTGAGATTTAGCCTCGAAGGACAAAAGAAATTTAAAAGAGGAGTGAAATTTCCAGAGAATTAAAAATAACTCCCCCATCACCATCCCCTCGACAGATGTAAAGAAGCAAAGCCTGTTGCAACAATAGGTTTGTATGGAGAAGCAGTGGAGTATAAGGGTCTGTAGGTCATATTGTGAAGGGTTTTGACAGAGACTGATAATCAACCCTCAGGAGCCTTTCTCATTCTTTTTTGTCTATTTAGAGAAGACACAAAATTTTACCTGGGCCTAAGCCTTCTCAGCTGAGAAGACATCCCCAACCTCTTGTAGCAAGGTGATCTAGTTTGTGCCAATTGGGTGAATTATGCATGACAGATACAGCTTCTATGTCATCTTCTTAAATACAGAGCTGCTTTATCCTTGACTTCCTCCCTCCCATGCCCACTCAGCTGGGAAACTGACAACTAAAGCAACTTTGGAAGCCCTGAGTTACAGATGGTAAAGCCACTTCTCCAAATTTGGCTGCTTATGTCTGTCCTGTCACATGAGATGAAATACAGTGAGATGAAATACCTTTTAGTCCTGGCTTTTTCATTCAGCATAATTCCCTGGATATTCATTCAAATTGTGTGTATCAGTAGTTCATTTCTTTTTATTGCTGAGTAGTACTCATGGTATGACTGTGTAATAGTTTGTTGAACCATTCACCCACTAAAGGACATCTGAATTGTTTCCAGTTTTGGGTTATTATTAATAAAACTCAGATGACTATATAAGTACCATTTTTTTGCAAAGACCTAAGTTTTCATTTTTTGTGGGATAAATGCCCAAGAGTGTAATTCCTGGGCCATATGATAAGTTTATGTTTATTTAATTTTTTAAAGAAATTGCCAACTGTTTTTCAGAATGGTTACAGCATTTTACATTCCCACTAGCAATGTACAAAGGTATGACAATTAAGTTCGCGAACTCATCCTAGACAAAGTGCTACATACCTCATTGTTGAATATCACTATGATCAACTTCAAAGTATTCCCCTTGGGAAGCTATGCACTGATGCCAGTGCCTAGTCCACACTTCAGAGCAATTTTGGAACTCTTTTTCTGGAATGGCCATCAGAGGTGTCATTGTATTACCCTTGGTGTCCTGAATGTCATCAAAATGTCTTCAATATTTCCTTTATATTTGGGTAAAGAAAGAAGTCATTGGGGGCCAAATCAGGTGAGTAGGGAGGGTGTTCCAATACAGTTATTTGTTTACTGGCTAAAAACTCCCTCACAGACAGTGCCATGTGAGCTGGTGCATTGTCATGATGCAAGAGCCATGAATTGTTGGTGAAAAGTTCAGGTCATCTAACTTTTTCACGCAGCCTTTTCAGCACTTCCAAATAGTAAACTTGGTTAACTGTTTGTCCAGTTGGTACAAATTCATAATGAATAATCTCTCTGAAATCAAAAAAGGTTAACAACATCATTGCAATAAGTTCACGAACTTAACTGTCATATCTCATACAAGTAATCAAATTTCTGAATGTTAAGGAAAATTATCATAGTTTGACAAACTTTTTTAGTGCAACACCATTTCTTCTAAACAATTACAAGTATAATCAGCTCTGATTCATTCTCACTTCTTCATTTTTTTTCCTATTATCCATTCATACTGTCTGAAGTAAAAAAACCAATGTTCCAATTCTGATGAAGAAATCTAATCTTTATTTCTATGATGTTAGCACAATATACTCACACAATAGCTGTGATCTATACTTAACAAAATACATTATAGCACTTTACAAATTTTATCAGTTTGGAAAACATTGCATAACATTTTATTAAACACAATACTTTATATATATTATATGTATTTTCATAATTTTATTTACTTTAAAAAGATAATTAACTCTCTTTTTTTCAATACTTGGTTTTATTGTAAAGCACAGCCTAACAAAGGAAGAAGTGCTCTCATTAGCAAATAAGATAAATAGAACACTAAGGAGAAAAAATACCACCTGTTAGTCTCATTTATTTTAAATTAAGGTACCAGTGGAATGTAAACAAATTTTTTTGTAATTTTTTTTTTTACAAAAGATGTGTTATCAAATATACATGCAGAGGTCTTGAGTTCTAATGACTATCATTATATTTCCTTAGCAATGTGGTACAATTTGTTGTCATTAAAAACTGTAGCCTTTGGCACTTTGAGTAGAAAAAGAATATATCAATATTTATGTAAAGGAAAAAAAAACTTCAATGACTAGAGAAGTACTTTAAAATATTTTGTTAAGAAATAAGAAAGATTAGGAAATATCATACTGCACCTGAAATGCTGCAGCTTTGTTTTTTCTTCAGAGTGCTAAAACCAGTCCACCTTTCTCTCTATAAATTGGCAAAAACCAGTAGAAGTATCATAATGGTGGTGGTGAGAAGTGGGGAAGGCAACATTTTATTCCCACTCCCCTCTCTGAGGAGGAAATTGCCAGAAGGGATGTAGTTGAATCTGTATTTTTATTGCCAGAGTTTTCAATTCTGCTGGTTTCAGCTTAATCCCTAATGCTTTAGGAGGTGGGTTACTCTAGTAAGCTCTGCTCCTGTCCTGTAGAAATTGATAATGATGTAGTAAAAAAGGTCCAAAGCTAAATTCCAAGAACCAAATACTTCTTCATACTTAAAAATAAAAATTTTAAATTGGAAAGACCTAAAAATGTTTTGTTTTTATCTTCTTATTGATGATATTGATTTCCTTTGATTTAGGCTGAAAGCTTCATTCAGGATAGGCAGCAAAAACTGTTGTTTACACATTAAGCATGAAAACTGTGCCTATTTAGGTATTTTGAAGAAATACATTCTTAATTTCTTCTGTGAAATACTTTTACTTTTCAATTTGCATTTTTTTTTTGATTCTTCCGGTTGGTGTCCATTAACAAAAATATATGAGGGAAGAAGGTAAAAACTCAGCTACTGTAGCTTTAATTTACTAGTTATCAGGATATCAAAAAAGTTAATAATCTGGAACTAAATAGAACTTTTGAACTGCTTGCTAAATAGTCACCTAAGCCAGCTGGTTTGAAACATCTATGGGTAGAAATGAGCAACATTGCTGGCAATGTAGCACGATGTCAAGTTTTGGTTCAGATTTCTTGTTTATAAACTCACAGCCATATATTTTGCTCAAGGAATGTCCACTGTTATTTTTGCTTTAAAAATAGAACGTATCTATAACATCAAAAAATTAAAAATCATAAATAAAGAACAAGCTGTAAAATACAAAATATGATCACAACAATTTTAAGACTCTCTAAAACAATATATATTTCAAATTATGCAAATTTACTCACTAGCAGTGCCTATACTTAAATAAAAAGTAAGCAGAAAAAAATAACTATGCAGAAAAGTACGAGCTCTACCTTTTTACTGAAAATATTCCTATATATTTTTTGTTGTTGAAGAAAGCATAATTCTGAAAAAAATGCACAAAATTTTTTATATTTTGACTCTGACAGAGCCACTACAGAGAAGCTGTGGGGTGTCCTATTCTAACACAAAGCAGCCAGCATCTCCTTAATACAGTAGCATTTCTTTGACAAGGAATTGCACACCACTATTTCACAGCTAAATAGAATTTGAGAGTTTACATGGTACATATACTATAATAATCAGCACCACCCATAATGAGCTTTAGGTGCAGATTCTGCAAAATGAATATATAATACTGCATGGCCTCTGCTGTAGGGAAAACGTGTTCTGTATTCCCACAGCTAATTATGAAAAATCCCTAACGTTGGCACATTCAGGAAGTAAAATAGTATACATTGAAGGAAACCGCTTTCTTCTGATACTGCCCTCTGCAAACCTTTTGAGTTCGAAGATTGATTTTAAGAAGAGTCTTCACGTTATCACATTAGTTAGGTTCTTGCATTGTGCTTTTCCCCTCCCCTTGATGTGAAATCTACAAGCTTGAGTGTAGTAGTTCTCAAGAGTCACCGAGTCCCGGGCTGATGGTGGATAATCTAGTTTGGTGAGAAATGTTCCCAACCCGCTGGAACAGAGCACAGATAGAATGAACCCGTGGTCTTTTGGGGGGCCGCCTAAATGACTGAACGCCGTGACTCAATCCTTATAAGCCCGTGTGGGGGAGGTTCCCTTGTAGAAGATATTTCGAGTGTTTTCGGGGCTGTTGCTTCTTTCGGGGATTAATATGATGTTGCCCTTTCTCCGAAGAGTGGAGTCGCGGGAAGAAGAGATGGACAGCGTCTCGGAACCAATTTCGCTGCCCTCCACTGGGGTGACGCGGATGGTGGTGATCCCATGGTGGTGATGCTCACTGTTATCAATGTTGCTTCTCTTGCGATCTCCAGAACCGAAACCGTCTTTCAGGGACTCGCAGCTTTCTGAGTCCCTGTTGAGATCATTGAGCTCGTACGTTTGGCGAAGGCTGCCCTTCTCGGGGGCTTTCCACTTCCAGGAGCCGCTGCCTTCGCCTTCAGTGGACGGGATCTGTATGATGGGCCTGTTGTTCTCCGGGTGAGCTTCCACCCTTACGATCCCACTGGGCTCGTGGTCTGTCAAGGTTTTGTAGCGGATGGAGCCAGTGCAGGAGACCGTGCTGCCTTCGGTGTTCTTGGGGCTGCTTTGCAGGACTCCCTGCTGCTTGGACATGGCTATGACTTGCATGATTCGGGGCTGGCTGTTGTTTCGGTTACAGGCCACAGTCTTCTCGGCAGCTTTCAACCACTTGGCCCGAGCAGAGCTGCTTTTGGGGGAGGTGCTGATGTTTTCCTGGGTCTCCTCGGGGATGTGCACCAGCTGTGAGGAGCCAGGCCGGGACTGAATGGACACTCTCGGTCCCCCAGGCATGCTGTTGTTACACCCGGAGACAGTGCCGGGCTGGATCTTGAGGTACTGATTACCAGGACCATGATGGTCTCCGTTGACCCCCACCCTTGACGGCTCTGAGCTTGACCTCATTTCTATGGACCTGGGTGGTGACTGTCCGGGCTCAGTCTCTATCACTTGCAGGGACAACTTCCGACTTTCATTCTTACTCTTCCACTGGGTGAGGAGCTGCTTTGACCGGGCAGAATCCATAGAGGCATGAATGGTGGTGTTTCTTCTGACAGGGTCTTCTACGGATGGAGTGTTGGCTCTAGGCAGGGTATTGCTGAAGGTCACCATGTTCTCCTTCCCCATGGGGCTCCGTGGTGTGATGATTTCTACATCAGCATTTGCCCTTTTGAGGTTTGTCAATGAGCTAGCATCTCTGTGGTTTCGGTTGAGGATGCCTTCTGTGTGAGCAATTCCATCACTGCCGCTGCTGTTTTTAGCAGATAAAACTCGGCTGGGGTCCTGATTCAGGTCTGCCAAAGACCTGAGAGCTTCTCTGTGCTGAAACATACTCTCTTCGCTAGGCAGAAAGTTTCCCACAGCATACAGACCCTA